GAATGTAATTGGAAGTCGGAGTGAAAAATGTCATCAATACGAGTTTGAAAGAAGAAAGTATTGCTTCCACCACTTTACATTAAACTTGGTTTGATCAAACAGTTTGTAAAGGCATTTCGACTTGACCAACGGTGATTATTTCATGTTTAGATATCGAGGTCATGATTTATATAGGTTTTAAGCATATAAAAAAATCGTAAGGTCACAAAAAATTACTTTTTAAGAAAAAAGTCAATTCAAAAATCACCTTTTTTTTGTTTATTTTCGATTTTTCCATGCTTTAATATTGTCGGAGGTATTTTTAACCAACACCATCGAAAAGAGCATCGTTAAAAACATAGAAACACTGGTTATCGAATATTTTTTTGTCGCTCTCAAACGTGACAAGGGTTTAAATAGAAATGTGTTCTCTGAGCATTTATGGGTTAATGTGACGTGGTATACACCATATGAATATCGTTTTCTATTACTTTTAAAACAATTACGACAAATATTAACAATTTAAGAAAAAAACTTTTCAAAAAAAAATTTCGCAGACCTGTGTAGTTAAACACAACAAAAGTTTTTAAATGTTTCATTAAGCTTTATTTAAATAGTCTACGTATGTTTCGACTTCAATTAGTCTTGACAATGACTTAGGAAGCCGAAGCATAAAACTAATTGAAGAACCTTTTTGTCTTTCTTGTCAAAGGGTAAATGATCAAAAACATGCGGTATAAAATCGAAAGACACCACCTGTCACCCGCTCCCAGCCTATTAGATAGGGCTCATACTTGTTTGAGCATTTTTTAGCTCTTTTTCTTTTTCACCCTATTTCATCCCTTTTGTTTCAGAAGGAAAGTCAGTGGCAACAAATTTCGAATGCAAATACATAGAAACTTCGGTAGGAATTAACCACAACGTTGACGAATTATTGGTAGGAATTTTGACCCAGATTCGTCTAAAATTGGAAAATCCTGAAAGGACAAGGGACATATTCCGGAAAAGGAGTTCGTCGCGCAAAAACTTCAGTAGAAATAAGTCGCCCGTTTCGGGAAGCAGCACACCTACCGGTAGCGCACAAAACTCTCCCAAAAAGTACAGGGGCTCCAGGACGTCCGCCAGTCTTAAAGTCCGAAGCTTACTAGGGAGGGTGTGGGCGAGGGATAGCAAATCGAAATCCTGCGAAAATCTACACGTCCTGTAAACAAATTAACAAAAGACAGGATTCAAAACACGCTTCAGAAGAAGGCGATTTGACACAGGCAAATTTAAAGGTAATTTATTTTGGCTATATTTTCATCTTTACGTATTCATTGGTGAGTTATAATTAGGATACTACTTTAACAAAAAAAAAAAAGAAAAAGAAAACAATCGTCTATAAAAATCAGAAGAAGAACAACCTGCATACATACCTATTATATAAAAATGAAAAGAAACACTGCCTTCGTTAAATAATCGTAAGAAAAAAACAATTAACAATCAATTAAACAGATCGCCTTCGGAGGGCTTACACACTGCATTTCTAATCGTAGATGGGATCACATTGAGTAATTTATAAGATTAAGGGTGCATGAGAATAAGTTTGAACGTACGATGTGACATTGTTTTGTACCGATTTTTAGATTAATTAATTAATGTAATGATTATTATGGTGAAAACAAGTGCGTGGTACTTGAATATCTATTCTATCGTAATATCAACATATACATATATCATGTAGATGTAGTTAAACTACAACAAACAAACCCGTTTGGTTATTCATTTGATATGATATGCGATACATAATAATATAAAAACGATGTGATNTCTCATTGGGGTCCATTGATGTAACTGTTGTAGATTGTTTCTGATTCATGAATTGTTGATGTGCCAGTTTTTATCTAACTAATTAAATATAAATAAAATCGATGTCAACTCTCGTAATATTGTATACATAAGTAACACAATCCGGAATAACTAAAAAGCAAAGGTTTGCAATCAGTCTGAGTAAAACTAATCGCCAACAACTACCTACTAAAGATTCTTAAATTCTAATTTGTTTTTACAATTTTGCAATGTTGTTTTGTAGATATTCCCCCGGCTGAATACATAACAATGCAAGAACACGGGGCCTAAAATGATTTGCTTTTGTTTTCACGCAGAACAATGTTTCTTGTAGACAATTAAAAAGCAAAAAATTCATAAATCAAATTCATCCCTTAGGTATTTAAAATATTTATTATTAATTGACTAAGTTATTCGCTGAAGTATTACACTTTTTATACGGATGACTCTACATTACGATTTGTACGATTTAATAAAAATTTGGTTGTCAGTGAGACATGTCGATTCGTTCTTAACAGTCGATGAAAAATGCTTTACTAATGATAACCACTTTGACCCGCAAATAGCGCTCCGTTTGACCCGGTAAGTTTTTACTTAGGACTTTTTTATAAGGATTTAGGTTCAGTGTCGAATTTTAAGGGGCTTTTAAACTCCCCCCCCCCTTCTTTCCATAAAAAACAGTAGACAATTAAAAGAAAAGCAAAAGTTGAGCTTTCATAAAAAGCACATCGCAATTCTTTTGCGATTAGACAAAACAAAATATCATTTTAACAGGAAATCAAATCATTATCCAATCAATTAAATATTAATTTAAAACTATAGACAATGAAACGTTAAATAAATTTCTATCCAACACTTCGTTTAGGCTCTTCGGCATCGTACGAGGACGACAGTGGAAGGGGGAGAGGGACAAGGTAGAAAAAGATTTGTAGTGATGGGGGAAGGTACAGAAATCTAAAAAAAATTTGGGGTTGTAGTATACAATTTTCAACGTTTTAATATACAATATTTAATATTCTTTAACGTTATATAGAGTAAGAAAGCGAGGAGGAAAAATGGGGGGGCAACTTAGGAGAATGTCTCCCCCATCAAAAATTGCTTTTATTCGATTCCTTAGAACTTTTTTGTGTTTCCATGCCCCCCCCCTCCCCCTAGAGAGCTCTTTTCGCCTCTCCCTCTATTGCTATTTATTGATTGACACAGAATTTCAGAAGGGTGGGGGGAGTTAATCGTAAAAAAAAATTCAAGCGCAAATTTTACGATTCCTTAAATTCGAGTGGTATTTCTACTAATATTTATACAGGGTGGCCCAAAATAACACGCGCTAGAAAATGCGACATTGTACATGATGTAGGTACACTGTATAAATTAGGGGTTAAAGGTAGGTAATTTAAATTTAATTCAATTGAATTTAATGTGTTACTGTTTATTGCTAAAATGCGCAAAAAAACTGACAAAGCAGAAATGTTATAGGTAATAGAGGGACCATTTTAGGTACCCACCTTTTTTTAAATGTATTTGTTTGCCGTAGAATATAAACGGCCCGTTAAAAGGGCTCCTGTACATTTACTTGCACGGGTAAAAATAACGTTGATTATTATAGAGAGAGAATGAGCGTTGTTTTTTCCCGTTTTAATTTGCATATACAATACACGGAGAGGTGACGTCAATAGAACGAATTACTTGTGAACTTATTACCATAAAAATGGTATTAACTCAAAATTACGGAGGTCTTTTATTTGAAATTAAAAACAAACATCCAAGAACTCAGGCCGTTTCGTAATTGACTACGTAGGCAGCAGATCCACTTCAAATGTAAAGTACCGTCTTCGTAACGAAATCAAATTAAAATTTTCTCTTTTGTTGACCTGCGTTACTACGATATGAAAATATTTCCCGGAAAAGTTTACAGTTACGTATATTAAGACTTTTTCGAATTTGTTTATCAAATCATTTAATAATTAGCAAATTAACAACATTTACAGGATTCAGTTATTATGTTTACGATATGATGTGGTGATGATTTTAAAAATTTGCCGCACAATTGTGAGATTATATTTCTTGTGTGAGTGCAACAGGGTCAAATTGAGAAGGCGAAGTACGTTGTCAATGATTGGACTGTGAGCGAGCAATTTTACCACCCTGAAGACAGTAAAATTGCTATCTTTCGATCCTATGTCATACTAAGTATGACTGACTTCGCCTTCCTAAAATGTCCCAACTTTACATGTTTAAAGTAAGTAAAAGGGAAATCCGTATATATGTATAAAAATATGTTTTGACGAGGTGGTATATGACGTATGTAGAAAGCCCTAAGTATTTCGTGTAAACATGTGGGTCCATAATAACTAAAAACACCAATGGTTGATAGAACGATTTGTAGTTTGAGGCATTTCATGTAAAATAACTAAAAGTCGTTAAATGTTTGTCGTCTACTAAAGACGAGTAAGTTGTTTTAGCAAAATTGTGCTCACTAAAACTGCTTACTCGAAATTATCCTATTATATCACTAGAATTAAACGTTTTTACATCATAATAATTCTCATTGGGGTCCATTGATGTAACTGTTGTAGATTGTTTCTGATTCATGAATTGTTGATGTGCCAGTTTTTATCTAACTAATTAAATATAAATAAAATCGATGTCAACTCTCGTAATATTGTATACATAAGTAACACAATCCGGAATAACTAAAAAGCAAAGGTTTGCAATCAGTCTGAGTAAAACTAATCGCCAACAACTACCTACTAAAGATTCTTAAATTCTAATTTGTTTTTACAATTTTGCAATGTTGTTTTGTAGATATTCCCCCGGCTGAATACATAACAATGCAAGAACACGGGGCCTAAAATGATTTGCTTTTGTTTTCACGCAGAACAATGTTTCTTGTAGACAATTAAAAAGCAAAAAATTCATAAATCAAATTCATCCCTTACCGGTTTACAGTATTATTTAATATTGTCGTATCAGTTCTCAGACGATGTTGTGTTCATTTGGTATTCAAGTAATAATTAATTTATTAATTTAGCTGCTAAAATAACTAAATCAGGAAACAAAAGGCTGCATTTTTTGTACATATTCTCATAAACTTGTGAACATACGTAAGCAAATTTCCCACTTTTCCATCATTGAATTTCTACCTAAAAGAATCCAAATTGCGCACTCAACCTTTAATGAACTAAAAGTTATTTTTGTTTAAATTGGCAAACGTAATTAATACGTAATGTATAGAAACATCATTAACTAAACCCTATTAAAAGTTTTAGGCATTTTGTAGTGACAATACAGTAATAGTTTACTAAATAAAAATTATAACTATATGTGGTGATATTTTGATACTTAAAAAAATTCTCCGACAGTCTTCAAGTAACTTTTTTTAAATTATTTAGTAAATTTACATAGTAATATTTTGTAATTATCCATTGGCATTTATAATA